ATATATATATATAGAGAGAGAGAGAGAGAGAAATACTTTTCAAAGCTATTTCCCCATTGGGTGCATTGACTGTTATTTTATGTGTTGTTGGTCGGTATTATTAAAATGTATGACCTTATGGTAAGGAAGAAGCCTACAAAGGATTATTTACTTTGGTTTATATAAATATCATTGTTTCAACTGAATATGTAAACCCTTATGTTAGATGGCATTCTTACTTTACACACGTGTTCTAGCCAATTAAACATGGTGGTCAGACTTCAACATATGACTGTTGGTGATCAGACTTCAACATATGTTGGTGGCCAGACTTCAAGAAGTAAAGTACATATACATATACAATAACTTCCTTCTTTATTTTTTTTTAATTTCAGAACTTTGTTAAATTTAAACTGCAGTATAAATTGCAACGTGGGCTGGGGGGTGGACTAGTGGTTAGCGTGACAGACTGTGAATTGGAGTGTTTATGGTTCGCGTCTGGATACTGGAAAAAGCACATTGAGTTTTTGAAGCACATTGAGGCTGTGTGTGTTGTAAGGGTGACTTTACAATCCCCAAAGTATACAACGAAAGCTATTCTTCCCTCTTGTGTATCATTTCAAAATTAGAGATGGCTAGCACAAATTATCCGTATTGTAGATTTGTGCAGTTATCCGAAACAAACAATCAGACAAACTGCAACAAATACGTTAAAGCGGAAACTTGTGGTTATTTTCACACTCATTCTGTGTTTTAATGTCTCTCTCTCTCTCTATTCCCCCTTTTTATTTTATAGAATGAGTGTGGCTTTTTTTTTATTTACATCCATTATTTTTACCTTACTTGTTTCATATTCTTCACTATCTTATTTGTCCGCCGCACATAAAGCGGCCCTCAAGAAAATATAATTACTGATAGAGAAACCTAGTCGTAGTATTCACCGTTAATGTTTACATTTACGAGGTCCGGAGTGCGAAATCCCACATTCTTGATTTTCTTTATTGCGTTCACGAATATCTAACAAAATAGGAAAAGTTGAGTGATTCACAAATGTATACATGGTTCATTAGCTAGGACGTATTCAGAGGTTGTGGCTTGACAGATTGAGAACTACGTTGCTTCTTAAGGCAGTTATTCTAGAGAAAGAATCGTAAATACGGAAGAAGAAGGAGGAGGGTATTAGTGATTCTTGAATCATAGAGAGGTGAGGTCACCCATGCTTTGTAAATGACTCCCTCCCCCCGCGATTCATGCCCCTTGCACATATTCGTATATGGTATGCCACGAAGGCTATGCAGTAAAATTCGTTTTACAGGGAGGGAAACCGGCATCAATGTTAGCAAGTACAAATGCTCCCCGACGCGCGCATCAAAACGAGCAACATCACCCTGAGCGCCAGACACTGGGAACTCTGCTTTGCATGCTGTTCGCGTAGATAGATGATTAGGTGTGTGCAGGGATGCCTGTCTGACGCGCGAGGCTTCGTACTACATGAAGATATGTTGGCAAGTAGCATAACGGTCAGTTCTCCAGCGTAACGCCATAGTAGGTGTTTGTTGACCATTACTACCTCACTGTCAATTGCCTTATATTTAAAGTTCCTAAATACTGATTACAAATATCACCTGGCTTGACATCTATATCTTCAAAAGCGGCTTTCTACCCTCAACTATTGTATGCTCTCCAAATCAGCAAGAGTGGGACGCGACTGAAGCAACGCTTTCTTATTTAAAAAACAAAAAAAAACTTATGTTTCTTAGACTATTTAGTTTCAAGACTCTTCCATTACGACTGTCGCTGTCGTCCAGTTCAGCGGATGTTGTTAATGTCCAACACTTCTCTCGAAGCCGCCAACAGCATTAGCTGACGCCTGAGATTGTCAAGTGTACAAGGCTTAACTAGCTCTTTTACTGACTTTATGCCAGTTAGCTGCTGTCGTAGGAGAGATAGAAAGCTCAACAGTGGCCGAAGAAGCCGCTCTAGCAGTCCATATTCACTACCACCGCTCGCTCTCTTCATTTCCATCATTTCATATTCAGGAGGCAGGCAACCACTCTGCAAGGCTAGCACGGCCAGGTCTTACGGCGGTCAACCAGTAATCACAAGGAGCTACATCGCCATCGACGTCTGCTCAGTGACCTTTTACATTTTCATGAGAACGCTACGGCCCTGATCTCCATAGCATGCAAGTTCGCGGCCCAGTGAGGAGTTAGGCTGTGCGCTGGTCAGTAATGGATGGTGTCAACGTGCACCCATTTCTGCCGCTGCTATGGGCCAGTAAATTTGGACCTCGTCTACCTTGGCCGACTCCTGTCACTCCAGATTTGTCTAAGACGCCCCCTACATCTCCAGGTAAACACTAATTAGTTTATTATTATTATGATTACTGTATTGTAAATCACATCTTGGGCAATTTAGCAAGTTACTGCTAACAGTATAGTAGGCATATAGGAGTACACACCAGAATACAGTTTAAAGCAACTTGCGATTAGGAACTTTAAGACTAAAATAATTAATATCAGCACTTATTATATATATATGTGTGTGTGTGTGTGTGCATATTTGTGTTCACAATAGTTCAAATATCAGTTCTTTGGCCCATATATTTCCTCGTTAATCGCAACTCCTGCAGATCAGCGATTAGTTCTTATTTATATGCACTGAAGCAATTTAATGGCTAGCTGAAGAGTGTCCTCATTTCTTCCCCTGGGGATGCATGTTCATGGGAAGGTTAGATGGATCGATGTAGCTGTGATTAGTCTCCAAATGCTGTTAGAAGAAACACAATGGAAGATAACCACTGTCCACCCGACTTTGTCCAACGAGTATTGAAAAAATACGAGTTTCGTGTATTTAAACTAAAGTGATGGAGGGGAAAATAATAATATTCAAGAAAGATGGAAACTTTAAATGAATGTGATTATTAATTGTGGCTGCAAATAAAGACGGGTAAAAATTCGGGAGAGGACGCACGCAGAAAAGCAATTTCTGAACATGATAATCAAATATATGCGCAACTATTGTTATAATTTAAAATATAACCACTTTATTCCCACCTCGTAGTGTGCAAATCTTGCGAAACGAAGATTTATCGGAACAGGTGTCACGCAGTTAAAAATTCTTAAAAAACTAACAAGAAAACTTCAATGTAATTACTTTAAATGAGTTGTGCCTAATCATGTTTTTATTCATGTCTTCATTTCGTAGTGTTGATATTATAATGAAATAAGGTGCATTTTTACAGAACATTGTTACTTTGTTGTTCCAAGCCACGAATGAAGCAGAAAATTTTATTCAAACGCTTTCTGTACTGAAATATTAGATGGTTAGAAAAATGAATTTATATGTATGAATAGTCAATAGCATTGTTGAAATCAATCAACTACAAAAGATATTACGTTGTTAAATCTAAAGTGTTTTCTGAATAGTGAATTGGAGTTATGAAGTTTTCGATCTCTGTCTCAATATTGGGGCTCAAAACACTTGTATTAATTAATATTAAAAATGTAACTTAAAGTTACATAGTAAAATGTAAGAAATGGCATATACGGTGAATAATGTTGTATAAATTGTGGGCCTGAATCATAAAGATTTACGCTTCCTGCAACCTTATCTTAAACACATGTTTAACATCCAGTTAATTTAATTAAAGGATAGACCATGGTTAAACCTTTTATATTCATTCCGGTAATTTAACACTTTTAACGCTTTTTTAAGGAAATGCTTTTATTGTTTACTCTGTACTGGAAACTTAAAATGGCACTCAGTGATACTACCTCTTGTGTGTCTCTTGAATTTTTGAAATCTAATATAGGAGTAAACTGTGATTGTAGTAACTGTCATTATATTATAAACATAAGATGCAGTGAATGTTTAATATGCTTGGAATCTTTGTTTTTCTGTCTTTGAAATTTCAGTAATGCGTATTGAATCTGATTAACATCCTTAGCTTTCTAGTATTTATTTGTCGGTAATGTAAAATGTATGTTTAAATTCGTTGGTTGAATCTGATTAACATCTTTGGCTTTCTAGTATTTATTTGTCGGTAATGTAAAATGTGTGTTTAAATTCGTTGGTTGAATCTGATTAACATATTTGGCTTTCTAGCATTTATTTGTCGGTAATGTAAAATATGTGTTTAAATTCGTTGGTTGAATCTGATTAACATCTTTGGCGTTCTAGCATTTATTTGTCGGTAATGTAAAATGTGTGTTTAAATTCGTTTGTTGAATCTGATTAACATCTCTGGCGTTCTAGCATTTATTTGTCGGTAATGTAAAATGTGTGTTTAAATTCGTTGGTTGAATCTGATTAACATATTTGGCTTTCTAGCATTTATTTGTCGGTAATGTAAAATGTGTTTAAATTCTTTGGTTGAATCTGATTAACATATGTGGCTTTCTAGCATTTATTTGTCGGTAATGTAAAACGTGTTTAAATTCGTTGGCATTTTTCTATTTTTTAACTTTGAATTGTCAATAATGAAAGATGTTTTAAGTTTGTTGGCATACTTAATTTTCTCGCTTTTAAATGTGGGGAGTGTAAGCAGTGTGTTAAAGTTGATGGGCCTGTGATTAACTTAGTATTTTTATTTATTATAATTTTTCATGTATTTTAACATTATTTTCACTAGGCACATCAAAGTATTGATTTAATAATCGCATCAAATGTATAATGTGTAAATATTTTGTACAGTTCGTTAATGAATCCGATACTGAGACACTAAGTATATGTATGTATATTTGTAGCGAATAGGCCTATACTGAAAGAGACAAATATGGTGTATGTATATTTATATATGTAGATACTTTCTATTTTCAAGTGATACGGTGAGTAATTAAGAATTCTAAATGACCACAAAAAAATAAAAACATAAACGAACAAAATCGTTATATTTTCATTCAGTTTTTTGTGGCTCATAAATGTGTCAATTTCTTGCAGCTGTAATGTGTACAAAATATTAATGTTTATACGCCCTATTATTTGGATCCTAAAATAAAAAAATATAGTTTTTCAAATAGTGCCAACAACGAGTCGTTACAATTTACTTATGAATAACAGTAAACAGTCAGGCGATAATGAAAATAGCTTTATTTTCAATACCAGAGGCTGGGATGATAAATATACGAGTTAGTGAAAAATGAGAGATGGGGTACTTGAAAGCACGTATATATATATTATGACTTGAATTATATAAGCCTACGATTAACGTATATACAAATATAACGCACGAACAGTAGGTATAAGTGGTAAGCACATATATATAGTATCGTAGATAAGCATACATTGATATAGACGTTACAGGAGAAAGAATATATTTCTCTGGGGTTGTTTTTGCGTGTATACTTATATTCAGTAACTTATAGACGATCAGACAGCAAAAATGTTGGCGCGTTCCACAAATCCGTGTTTATCGTGTATATATCTGTGTAAATATGTGTTTTCAGTTTTGTTTTGTTTTCCTAAACGATTCTGTTTGTCCTTTTTTTCTTCTTCTCCTCTTTGCCGGTCTAGTCGCATGCATGTTTAATGGGGGACACCGTCCTTGTCGCCTAAAAACGATCGGTTTACTATAGGGGAAGGAGTTCTCTTTCAAGAATTTTTGCTCATACCAGCAGAAATGCAAAACCATCACATTTATCTCCCGGTTTATGATCGCATTTTGCAATTCATACACGTTGGTGTGGGAAATGGAAGCAGTGAGGACTTCATTGCCATTCAGTCGTCCCTGTTCTCCAGCCTTTAAATCTGCAATGTATTACGTAGATACCACTGTCTGTGGAAAATGAGACTGGCGGCTTGGGCTTCATGTTCAACACTGTTATTGAGGCATCTAAGACAAGCTTTGGTCACAAACGGGGTTGTTGGTTGAATCTTTCTACATTTTTCGTGCAGCTGTGTCGTTCTTCTTCAGATTTTGTTGGTATACATACATTTTAATGCCTGCCTTCTATACGAAGAGGTTCCAAGTTGCATCTTCTGAATAGATGTAGCCTACATCTAGATGCTGTCAGACAGACTGTACGTCTGTTAGTTTGCCAGCCGATCAATCTCTTGATCTCTCTATTTCTTTATTTATTCACCCATTTCACGACACATGAATTCCTCCAGATTTCCATTTACATCCTGATCCATATGTATAGTTTGTTAACGCAAGGATTCGATTTTTTTTAAGAAATTGTGTTTTAACAGAAAATATTGATATCAATAAATATACATGAAACAACAACGATTGTAACTTACCAAAGATCTAACCTGTCGGAAAATACAAGAATATTTAAAGGCCCGTGGGTGTAACCACACATGAAATGCTGTAACTTACAGTACGCTTTAAAAAATGTTTCAGATTGTCAGATAATGAATTCATTTTTCCACTTTCATCAGTAGTGTATGCGACGTAACTCGAACATCTAACAATAGCATATTGAAATGTTGAAGATTTACTGACGCTACTAAAAGTATCGAAGTAGATTTTGCAAGACAGTAAAAAAAAAGTTTGTAATTCTGTATTTTTAGAGAAAAAACCTTTAAGTCGGGAATAATAAAACTTTGTATCGTTTTGAAGTAAGGCATCTAATTCATCTGCTGACAAAATAATACAATTACTCTTGTCGCTTTAACGTCCCAGACTCTGATTTTTAGTCGAAAAAATTATTTGTTTCCAACACGTCCCTATTTTTCTGTTGGAAAAATTCCATTATCTTAATTGATTTTTAGAATATAAATATACAAGAGTATGCTGAAAAAAAAAACGATTTTTCCCCCAATACTTTTGATACGATTGAAATGGAGAACATTAAAGATTGTGTTAATAGGACAATATCCATCCGTTGCTAAGAGATGCACTCCTGCAACATAATAATGCCAGGCCCCATATTGCTTGTTGTGTAACAAGGTGCGATTGAAAAATTCGATAGGACATCCCTCACCCATCCCACGTGTAGTTCTGATCTAGAAGCCTATGACTTCCATCTTTTTTTCTTGTCCTTAACAAAATAATTTGATGTTCCTAACGTAGCTGTACGCATCTGGATTCGTAACAGTATATCTACAATTGGTATGATAAAACACATAACGATAAAGGAAACGCGTCACAAATAACGGGGAATTTGATGAGAAATGATGTCGATTTCCCACATCCTGGACATAGATGTAGATTTGTTGGTTATTATCAGATACGAGTGGCCTTCATCAAGTAAAAATCCCTTTTCTTTATAAACAATACTTGAATAACTTACTAAGTGAAGAATAGAAACAAAGTTCAATTAACCACAAATAATAGATAAATGTAAAGCTTAGATATAACACGGGTGACAAAGTATACGGTGTCCAAGAATTTTGGAAACACTTTT